ATAAACAGGGAAATAGAAATTCAAGAACAGAGAGAGGCAAAGTACACTTAAAATTTCAACTATAACTTAACAGATTTCATGCAAAACTTTTTCCCCTCACTGACCGAGGATTTCCCCGATGCCGATGAAAATGCCGGAAAGCCCGATGAGGCTCTTCTCTTCTGCTCCGAACTTATTGACGGCGCCGATGCAGGTCCCATACACCCCGGAGAAGAACGTCAGTTCCAGACCTTCCGGAACAATCGGGTTTAAGTTAGACACTCACACCTGCCCCTCCCCAGCTCTCCTCTGTGCCTAGGAGTGTCTGAGCCGTGCACATACCAAACACACACACAAGCAACAAAAACTTGTTCAGCCTGAAATGTTCCTCCCAAGCAGAGAGTACGTTCATGATGAAATGGAATTGGCCCCACGACGGCAGATGGCACATATTTCCGATAAAAATACACAACTCAGAGGAGCAAAGACGTGCTTATGTTCAAAACAGTCACTGCGTGTGTATACAGGTGGGCAGAGGATAGAACTCACAACCTATACAATAGCTTCCCAAGGGAAGAGGTGATACATTTGGAAAACTAGTAGGTGCTATTGCACAATAACCTTTTAATTAAATCCTTTTTCCCCAGGAAACCGTGAAAGGGGTACAAATTAGGGCAGATCAGCCGAAGACCTGATTCCTCAAAGATACAAACCTTAACTGAATTTTAAAGATGTTTACTTTTTCTCCTAAAAAGATATTTATACCCATGAGGCAGATAAGGGCAAAAGTAGCAACTGGCGCATTCCAGCCCTTTTAGGAGGAAATAAGTTTCCTGTCATTCTTCAGACGTAAGAGCACTCCACCCATTATCACATCACGTGACCAGCATTAGCCACCAGACTCATTCCTTTTCATTAGAAATTCTCTTAATGCCCAGCGGGCGTGGCTCAGAGGTTGAGCACTGACCTACGAACCAGATCACAGTTAGATTCCCAGTCAGGGCACCTGTCCGGGTTGTGGGTTTGATACCCAGTGTGAGGCCTGCAGGAGGCAGCTCATCAATGATTCTCTCTCATCATTGATGTTTCTATCCCTCTCTCCCTCTCCCTGTAATCAATAAAAAATCATATTAAAAAAAAATGACCTTAATCCATACAAAACCACAAAGGTTTATTCTGTCGTTTCCTATAGCGTCCACTCTGCCCTACAATCACTGGCTGGGATGGCCCGTGCCCCCGGATACAAGCCCGCGTTAGAACCGTCCACACTGCACGCGGCTGGCCCTGTGTGCTGTGGAGGTGACGCTGGCAGGGGCCAGGCTAGCTTCAGGGTCTTGTCCTTTCTCCTTCTGCCCCTTTTGGAGCCCGTGCCACTAAGAAGCCTGGCATCCTGCAGGGAGGGGAGGAGGGGGTCACGTGGGAGGTCCTGCAGCTGGCAGGCACACCTGGAGAGGCAGAGACCCAGCCTGGATCTGACCCTTCCGAAAGCCAATGAAACCATCTGGAATGTTCTAGCCCAGCTGCCCTCTAACAGCATCCACAAGGGACCCCCACTGGGACCATCACCAGCACCCTCCGCTAAGCCCAGTCAGTGCGCAGAACTGTGAGAAAGCATGACATGGTGGTGGCTGCCATTACTCGGCAACAGAAAACAAACCAAAGTCAAGGCACTTACTCCCTGATAAGCACTCACCTGTATAGGCGGTTGTAATGCTGAGAAGGAGCATTTCCTTGGTGACACACAATTTAAGAGACTTTTCTGTAAAATAAAAAAAAGAAAAAGAAAGAAAAGAATCTGGTACTTAATTTCAACTAATCGAACAAACATCCTAAAACATCTGTTCACCGAAACACCCCTTGGTCAATAATGCCAGTGAACAAATACATCGGGACAGAGCTCGGTGACCCACATTTCAGACTGAAATGCGTAAGGGCTGGCCCTGGCCGGTTGGTTGCTCAGTGGCTAGAGCATCGGCCCTGGGACTGAAGGGTTGCCGGTTCAATTCCAGTCGAGGGCACGTACCTCGGTTGCAGGCTCCATCCTTGGCCTCAGTCGGGCACGTGCAGGGGGAGGCAACCAATCAATGTGTCTTTTTCACATCAATGTTTCTCTCTCTGTCTCCCCCCTCTCCCTTCCACTCTCTCTGAAAAATCAATGCAAAAAATATCGAGTGAGGATTAACAAAACAAAAAAAAAAGCTTAAGGTATGAACTATTTGCTCTATAAGTAAAATGCTCATTTCAACTGCTCAAATATATTCTAGAGTCGTGTTTTCCCCAATGCATTCTCTAGCTCTAATTTAAAAAAAACAAACATGAAATGGAGAAAATGGAATCAAACAAACAACAGAACATTCTAACAGTCGTGTTTAAAGGTTAGGCCTTTAAGGGAGTCAACAGCTGGCACAGTGCTCACTTCCCGAAGGAATTAGCGTCCGGAGCAGCTTTAAGGCTGACTCAGATGGGAATCACCAGGCCCTGCTGACCACGCGGCCGCTGAACACACTTCCTGAGCTGCTCACTCAGATCTGAGGGTAAACTTTAGCTCCGCACTTGCTTACACTCGCTTTAATGTTTGTTTTCATGCTGCTCAAATTAGTTAAAATATGCAATGGAAAATGCATTTCTAAAAACTGTGTTTTTGTTGTTAATCCTCACCTGAGGATTTTTTTTTTTTTTTAAGGGACAGTGGAAGGGAGAAAGGGAGGGAGGGATACATCAATGTGAGAGAAACACACCGACTGGTTGCCTCCCACACGCCCTGACCGGGGCCGGGGATCAAAACCTGCAATCCAGGTACATGCCCTTGACCAGGAATCGAACCCGAGACCCTCCGTTTTCTCTTCTATTAAATGGAGATAAGGATAGGTCACATCTACAGGTCGTATCATACATGTTACACCAGCCTTGGGATTGTGAGAATAAAATGAAACACGAGGGTTAGCCAGGAAGAGCCAGACAGATGCGAGCGGCTGTCCTTACGAACCCTTCGGTCCCCGGCGCTCCGGCCCCGCTCTGAGAGGTGAGGGGTGCCTGGAGAGATGGCCTGCGTCCTCACTTTCTCCCGCAAACCCCCAATTCCCGGGTTCCCTGCCGCTCGGGCGAGGCTGTGGGATCCCCGCCATCCTTCACACCCCCGTGCCTGAGGTGTGTGTGGAGAAGACTCATGCCTTCAGAGCGGCAGCCCCAGAAGCATGAAAACACCGGGTGCCGCCACCCAGTTACCACGGGAGAGGGAGAGGCACGCGCTGACGTGGTTCCTAGACAATCAGTTCCTGTACTTCAGCCACAGAAAACACTTACTGAACGCATCTACGGCCTTGGTCAGGTTGCTCCGGGAAGACCTGGGAAAAGAAAAAGAAAGGAAATAAGAGTTTTATCCCCTGAAAACTGAAAAGAGAACTTTCCACTGAAGCTGGTCAGGGCCAGGACCCCAGCGCCTCAGTGCTCCCTGCTCCAGGAGGCTGGCCTTGCCCAGCAGCTGGCCTGGCGCCACCCGGTGGCTCTTGATGGTATTGACCAGGAACAGAATTCTTTCAAGCTCTGTGCGCTGAACACAGTCATGCATGTTTTTCAGATGTGACGGCTCAGCCTGCTATTTTCACCCCGTGAAAACCATGTGCGCTAGCTCAATTTCCCGCCACTCCTACTGTTAAAGAGTAAGTTCTTCAGTGTTAAAACGCTTCAAAAGCAACACCTCCCGCCATCTGGGTTCACGGTTGGGTGCAGTATAATTGATTAAAAATGTGGCCAAAAACAATAAAAAATGCGGGCCAGGTGTAGCACAAGAATTCTGAAATAAGCCCCAGGTCCTGTAGGCACGGGGTGGGGCAACGCCACCTCCCACCCGAGCCCTCCTCCCTCCCGGTACTTGCTTTAAAACTTTCCCCTCCTGCCTGCCCGGCATCGGGTGTCAGTGGGGCTGTAAGAAGGCTGGTAGCCTCTAGACTAGATCGACTCAAAATGTGTGTTCAAGCGGAGAGGCACGTGCCCGACGTCTCACCCGCTGACTTCCAGGTCCTGGTCATCGGAAGAGTCATCTTCTCCCAGGATGTTCTCGGATTCCGGCTTCCGGATGAGGAAGAAGAGCACGGTCCCCAGCAGGCTGATCACTGTCAGGGCGATGAACACTGTCCTCCGGTCACTCTCTGGGGGGAAGGAGGAGAAGAAAGCAGACGTCTCGAGCCTGTTTATAACCATCGAGACACTTCCGCATTCAACTTGTACTTTACTGCATCAGTAACACAGGGCATCTCCACCTTTGCTTTTTCAGTTACAGAAATACTAATCAACAAAAAAAAAAAGTACAAGAACTTAATCGGATCCTTTGAATCAAAGAAGCATATAGACAAAACAATTAAGAATTCAAAAGTCTGACAACTGACGCATATGGTCATTCACAGCATAACCCCCTCCCACACCTGCAGGTGCCATTGGCAGCCGTTAGCTATAATCCCAGCGTAATAATATAATCCAAGGAAAAAGTCACCAAAAGCTAAAATCTGAGAGGCCTTAGGTACCAAGGTCCAGAACAATTTTGAACAAAGCAACCCTGGGTAATTCTGTGAAACTGCCGTTATGTTTTGCACATATATATCTGAATAAAGCAAAATGAGTAAAACAAACCTGATATTTGAGTTTTCCCTTGCCAAGCAAAATATATGTAGAGGTTTCCAAAGAACAAGCTGGGGTTAAAAAAAAGGAAGGAAAGAATGTTGGAAAATGATTTTCATATGTCTAGCCTTTTAAACCATGTTCCCGTTACTTGTTAAAAAGAGAGAAAGCAGAAAGTGTCCATAATTGTAAAAGCATCTACCTGCCCTAGATCCTCTGAAAGTGTCCACCCCACCCTGACTCTGAAAAACTCAACTGACCCAGATGGAGCTGGGCCCCGCTCCACGGGCCGGCACCTGACTCAGCACCGCCTTCGAGAGGTCCTGACTCACACGAAGGCATGTGATTGCTTGTTGGCACTCCGGACGCGACTCAGTCTGACTTCTGAATTTAAATACGTCTTTGTTAAGCACTACCTGCCAGTGTAGCTTGGTCGGAAGGACGTGGCCTTTGGAGTCCAGAGAATGATGGTTTGAACCAGATCAGATACTTAACTTTGCAGCCTGTTTTCTCACCGGTGTGTTATCTCATGAGGGTTATTAAAGTTAAGTAAGATCTCCATAGTCCAGTGATGGCGAACCTATGACACCTCTGACACACGAACTCATTTTTTTTGGTTGATTTTTCTTTGTTAAATGGCATGTAAATATATAAAATAAATATCAAAAATACAAATCTTTGTTTTACTATGGTTGCAAATATCAAAAAATTTCTATATGTGACACGGCACCAGAGTTAAGTTAGGGTTTTTCAAAATGCTGACACGCCGAGCTCAAAAGGTTCACCATCACTGCCATAGTCCCTGAAGGATAGCCAACGCTAAACATATTAGGGTTAATATCAGTTTCTATTTACTAACCAAGACTTCCAATGCATTTGAGGTCGGTCCATGCATTTGAAGTAATTCTATGAATTTTTTTCACCCGTGTGCAGCTAGGAACTTAAGCCATTCAACGTGGGAAAATCTGCGTTTCCGACACAACAAAGCTCTAAAACTACGTGACGAGAAATGCCAGGGAAGGCTGAGCTCCGAAGGATCGTTACCTCGACTGTAAGAGCGCCCAGAAGATGCCACTGTTCCTCCCAATAGTGTGCTCATCGGAATTGATTGTCAGGCAGTTCCCCTGGGCCGTCCACAGCACTGCAATTCAAGCCAAACGGTTCTCAGGGGCGTGAAACCACGCGGCTTCAATGCTACTCTTAGGTCAGCCCCGGGAAACGAGGAAGACAAACACCCCAATGCTCACCCGCAGCTGCCACGCCGAGGAAAACAGAGGCTGTGTAGAAGGACCACGTGAAAGGCTGGATAAAAACGGCAATGTACATGCTAAAATATAACAGGTCAACGGATTACGTCAAACCACACCTGACACAGGACGCCATTGTGCCTTCTAGGAGTCAGTTCTGAGGGTCCTCTTTTAAAATGCAACCGGTAGCCTGGCCGGCGTGGCTCAGTGGTTGAGTGTCGACCTATGAACCAGGAGGTCACGGGTTTGATTCCTGGTCAGGGCACAGGCCTAGGGTGACGGACTCCATCCCCAGTGGGGGGCATGCAGAGGGCAGCCGATCAATGATTCTCTCTCATCATTGATGTTTCTCTCTCTCTCTCCCTCTCCTTTCCTCTCTAAAAATCAATAAAAACATAGTTTAAAAAATTAAACTCAACCTGTAAAGGACACCTCCAGTGTTGAAAACAAAACAATAAAAAGGGACAGATGTGACCTGCTCATTTCTTAATTTACTGGTTCATCAGACACTGAATGATGGTGTGCAGCCGGTCTTTGCCAATTGCTTAGCCCGTGATGGGACTGTAGCTCCACAGCCCACAGGAAAGTTTGGTTCTTTCATTTGAATTCCTGTTAATCAACTTGATATCAAATAAGCTTATTTCATGGGGAATTCTCTTCAACTCTTGTGGCAAGAGATTTTTGAATGCTATTTTCATTAAGAGTAAAACAAAAGCAGGTATACACATGACCAATCACATTAAAACAATGTGGTATCCCTGAGCACAAAGAAGACAGCCAAATCCCTAAAACATCGTCTTCATCTATTCTAGTCAATCCACGGCCGCAGGTTCCTGTTACAAGTTCGCTATGTGCCTGAGAGACGCTGAAGGTGTTCTCAGTGAAATGAAAGGAAGAAAAGTACTCGACTCACCTGTAAAACAAACCACTAGCGAACATGGAGAGCTGAGGTCCTACGATGGCCACCACGGATGGGGTGACCAGATTGGAAGCGGAGAACACGCCATAAATAATCGCCATGCTGTACACATAACGCACAAAAACAAAACCACGCCAAGCTGTCTTAAAAGTTTACTTTTCAAGTTTACTTAGCCTACAGACGTTTTGCAATCAACATTCCCATTCTATAGGCGGCGTGTACAATTATATCCTTAAACTGAACGCCATGTTAAAGTTTTCACGTGCACAAAATACTGAAGTCTCATCCGATGTTCCTTTGAGTAAGTGTGCCCTGGACGATATGGTTTTCGATGTCCTGGTAAATTATAACAACAGCGAACACATCACATGGAACAGGCACTAGGCCAAGGACCTTCTACATGTTTCTGCTCTTAATCCTAACAGCTCTGGGAAGAAGGTATTGTTAACGTCCTCATTTTACAGAGAAGAAAACTGAAGCACGGAAGGGCTAAGTGACCTGTCCAGCGTCCACCTGGGCGCCTGGTGACCGGGGGAGCCCAGATCCCGTACCTGGTCATGTGACTCCCGAGGCCCCAGTCAACCAGTCTGCCCTGCAGACTCAGCCTACAACTCCCGGCAAGTGCGTGTGACCTCGCTGCTATAAATAACAGGCCGAGTCCTTAAGCCAGAGTCCATGTGGCTCAACCTAATGGTCTCATTGAACACTGTTCAGCTACTAGAGACCCAGCCTTACTAGTACGCATATCTTGGGACAAAGTGTGACTAAAACCATTTCAAAGGCCCTGAATTTATTTACTACTTATAAACCCATAGTAAATTATCCTTTGGCTTTTATGAATCTCTCAACTATCAAATGTCCTTTCCCTTGTTCTGTAGAATACGCATGAATACAAAGCACTACAAAATGTTATGGGAATCCTTTAGAAAAAAATGGGCATAAATATCCCTTTACCCTCATATATCATACACAACGTCAGGCTTAGGATAGGTGATAACCAAATAAGACCGGGGGGGGGGGGGGGGGGGGGGGGGGGGC